AGGCAGCACCAGTGACAAGCCTCATACCAATTAGGACTGTTTGTGGAAGTGAGCCTGAACCTGTCTTTCAGGATGGATGAAAGTGGGTCAGAGCCACAGCTCGCCTCTCTGAGCTGCAGCACAATGACAGGTTGCAGAAAACTCACAAACTCAATGTAGGGATTAAATGGTTGAAGTTGGAATTTGCTTTAATTTGTGGGGGTGAAGCCATTATTRTTATCAGCCACTTTGACGCTCAAACGTTAAGTTTCAGAGCAGGTGTCTCGTATTAGACGAGTTCAGACCRCAGGTATTACCGCTATCGTTCATTAGCTCACAGTTCTGCAGGTAAACAACTCTGCGAGTTCAAAGGCACCTCATATCAATAACAGAGTTAGACATTTCTGTGGGGGGAAAACTCAGATTCTGTGGACTTCTTTTTTTTATTATTCCTCACTCTAACATCAAACGCTCTAAACTTCCACTCTCCATATTCACATGGCTGTTACTCRTGAGCCCGGAGTGGGAAAGAGAGCGGAGTGGCGTTTAATGATGCCGAGCATGTTTCTGAYGGAGCAGGTCTGTGGAGGACCGGGGACGACATCAGAGCTGTGATGCTGAAACGGCTTGACACGACCGCTGGTCTGCTGCACGTCTGACTTTTAGTAYGTCTTCAAAGTATCTCATCTCGGCTCGGAGCAAATGTTTGACACGACTCGCTCTCAAGGGATGAAAAATTATATYTGAGGACCCTCATAAGACAGACTTCAAACAGACTCAATCAATGAAAATGACGTGGGACAGAAATGTGTGTTTTTTTTCCAATATGTGGGGAAAAGGACAATGTTTTTGCACATCTGTTTTAAAATACTGGATGGATTTTAATGAAACCTCCAGATAGTATTAATCAGAGTACACAATCTACAGTTGATTAACTCTGAGTCACCCTCAAGTTGAGATAACCACAGCTAATCATCATTATTTAACACAAAATCAATTCTAACTCTCTCAGTTTTACAGATATTGACCTAAAAACCTTTTCTGCAATAAATGATCTCTAATCTAGATCTTTAATTCTATGCTAGGTCTTTTAATTACCTTTTTCCCCTTCATTTAGGATTATTTATTTATTATTATATTTATATTAGGCGGCACGGTGGCTCAGTTGGTAGAGCTGATGCCTCTCAGCAAGAAGGTCACCGGTTCAAATCCCGGTCCGGGGACCTTTCTGGGTAGAGTTTGCATGTTCTCTCCATGCATGCGTGGGTTCTCTCCGGGTACTCCAGCTTCCTCCCACTGATTTTGACCACCAAGACAAATTTCATACTGGGGCTCCAAAAACACCACCTCTGTGTGGACA